AGAGATTTCACGAGGGAAATTAGGAAATGGATTCTTTGGAATCGGGGAGAGAGGGGCCGAAGAGAGTATGGAGGAATTGGAGTTGCATTCGAATGCCGGCCTCGAAGCCAGGACCGCCGAAGAAGAGGCCAAAATGGTCGCCCTCATGTTCGTGAAGATGTATGGAGATGTGTGAGTTTTGAGCCTTGAGACAGTCATCAGCGAAGCGGCGAGGAATCTTGCTAGGGATCAGTCGATCGCCCTCGTTTTTAGCCCACGAGATGAGGATGGGACACTTGACCTGGGCTCCATCGCATCGCTGCAAGAGCACCTCGAATCCGTATCGGGCCGCAATTTCGTTCACCACCGAGGGCCCTTTCCCGATCCCATGATTCTCCAGCTCTTCGTGTACCCTCCCCTCCTGTGCGCCCGCGGAGGATTCTGTCGCGCTGGATGAGCTCATCATCTGGAAGCCGTGTTCTGCTTCCGACGAGCCCAGCATACCTCCCGGCCCAAACGCTGGCACGACAAGGGTGGTTTGCTTGTTGAGGACCGGCAAGAAGGAGAGTAAGAAATCGCCGAGGATCCAATGACCTATGCGAGCCATGCCCAGCGGGTTGTGCCACATGTGATGCCTCAAATTCGCCCAACCGTCGCACAAGGGGTCGAGGGTGATGACGGCGGAAATGGGCAGTTTATCCGCTTGCGTGGCCAGCTTGGCTACATGTCCTCCTGAGTTACTCCATCCCCACAGAACCACCTCGCTCGCGGGTATATTCTTGCGGCAAAAAACCTGCGCATTCGAGTCCGAATCTGTCACGAATCGTATCACTGTCATGTAATCTTCCAGTTGCCTTGCTTGCGAAACTAGCTGTCTTGGTTGCCCCGTCGAATCGCCCAGATGTCGGAAATCAAACCTACATCATCGCCCCCAAAAAAAGAAAATTACTGGGTTGAAATAGGTTCACTGTAATAAAACATTATCATTTGGCGGTTGAAGGAGAAGTGGAACGCACAACAAGACCGTGTACCCAGCGTTAGCAAATCGCGCCGCAATGTGCTTGAAACGATGTCGGACGAAGCAGAAGCAGCTTGTGATCAGAAAAGCACGGGGAATGAAATCCAAAATTGGAGAGAACCGCTGAATGAAGGGATTGTTCGTTTAAACATACCGGTAGTCCAGCAGATCTCGGGAGGGCTGCGCCATTCGGGGAAAAAGAAAAAATGGTATTGTATGAAAAATGAGGGATACGGCAGAGCTCGGAGAGCGGATATTGACTAGTGAGAGAAAAGTTCGGAGGAGGATAGGGGACCGACCAAGACCATTCGCCATGATGATGACGGGGGAGGCAGCATCGGAAGGGCTTAAGGAAGCTTTAGGGATGTAACTCCACATGACGATTCTCTCATGGCCCTCCGCGCCCGCAGGGATGGAGAAGGTATTACGAGTGAAGGAAGAAGACATGTCAGGGTGAACAGCAGTGGATGGCGATCTTGGGCTACCGTGTGATGCAAACAAGGAGGACACGGTTCTATATTCTAGGGGCTTTTCTCCCGGCGCAGCGGTTGTTCTGAAAATAAATAAAACCCCCGGCTGGACGTGATGGGGGAAGGAAGGCCTTGTGATGCGGGCAGGAAGAATTATAGATAGGTTATTTACCAAAGCAACAAGAGCGAGACTTATTTTTTTTTAATTTTTTTTTTGTGATTCAAGGTTTTTATTTTGTTTGGCTTAAGTGCACAAAGTATGTAAATACGAAGGAGACAAGAGGGAGATGTTGGATGATTGAGAGCGGAGGTGCTGAGATGAAGAATAATCCGAGAGTGGTGGATTGGGGTGGTATTGGAGGAAAGGGAGTGTGGATCAGAAGAGGGTCGAACCGAACCGTGTTTCTTTTCCAAGAAAACTATATTTGAGTACGATTTATAACACACAAAGCTGACTGATGAGCGAGTTCATTCTGTTTGCTGCTGTATGTCTCTGAAGATTTTTATTCTTCATCAGAAATTAGGATTATTATGTGACGGGGATGGATATCAGCGTGTTATGGAGTGATTCATAAAATTGAATGTGATAAATTACGACGCAACGAGCAGCAGCGGATGGGCCGGCAAGGTTGAGCTAAAACCGAGCAGGGATTCTTCTTCCGCGAGACAAAGGAGTTACAGCGGCAGATCTCTTTAATAGGGCGCAGTGGCGGCTGCTGTCATGGGCATGCAGAATTCTACGCGCTAGTTCTTGTAAGACCCTCATCGATCTGAATTCCAGATTGATCTTTTTAGCGCTGGTCATGATCATGAATTTATTTATCTTTCTTTCTGCCAGCCAACTCCCTCCATTCATCCATCCATGCCAGATTCTTGTCATTTATATTTCCATAATGCACTGTATATGAATTAAATCTCATGGTTAAAAAAAAAATAAGCCACACCAATAACTAACTGCTTACGAAAGACGAAGAAAAAAAAAAAAAAAAGAAGCCTGCAACAACAAAGTTGTGCGAAAGAGACAAGAGAGAGTGGGGACGCCCATTAGGTGTTATAGTGAGCGATTAATAAGGGAGGTAGAATGGGGTTCACACTCACTAACTCATTATTAAGCTTGTGAACCTCTTTTGCCGGTCTGTGGCCCGCAAGATCAATCCGCGCATCGAGATGCTCGTTATTCATAGAGTACAAGGTTTGAATTACAGTGAATTATTGACTCTTTTTCCCTTTTCAAGACCACCAACTCAAACTGCTCAAGTTCATCAGAGTCATCTCATCCTCATCACATGAAGCCATTTTGCTTTGATTTTAGCAGCTCATAATTGCATGCTTCCTTATGCAGAGCGACTTGCCAATAATTCAGCCAAGTTGCTGTGGCTCGACTTTGAAAGTCCCCCTAATATCGGAGTAATGAGTACTATACTTTTCTTTGGATGGAGAAGATGGTCCTGGAAGACAAAGGTATTTTCGGCACATGTGAAAAGTAATGCCAGTGAACAAGTACAGAACAAAGGTTAAGATATCAACTGAGGGAAAAACTGGGGCGATTTTCGATGCAACAATAAGCGCCAAGCCCTGCCGGCAAGAGAGCTAGAGCTACAAAGGGCTTTGGTCACCTTATAATGGTGGTTCTTTTGGGTACAGAATATTGCATTTTGCAGATGTAAGTTGGAGAGAAATTGACTAATGGCATCAACTCTTGTTCCAGAGTTATTAAATGAGCTCTTGAAAAACAGAGAAAGACGAAATGGGTGATACTGTGATGTGGATTGGAACCAGTTCCGCCATGGCAACGTACATCGAAAACAACTCATCGCGGTTTGGCCTGCACGGTCATCGTCAACGCCGCGTGTAATCTTCATCGACCAAAAATTTTGCTGGGGCTGTAAGATTTTTTTTAAAGGGAGGATAAGCCATCATAGAAGCAGGGTGCGCGATATCCATACGAGATCGAATGATGACATAAAGGACTCAACTTGGCAAGAGAAAGTAAGCCTATCAGTGCTACGATCGGAGAAATTGTCAAGACCCAAATCAACCATTTGGTGGTAACCATAATGACCCCTGTTGAAAGCGGAGCAAATCAGAGAAATTCAAGGGGGAGAAAACGGCAGCTACTGATCAGGTTTTCTCATTGAATTTGTGCGCCGTTTGGCGACAAAGGATCAACTAACAGTCTGCTTTGGTCACCGTCAAAACTGTGATCGTCATCAGGAAGATCAAAAGATAGCCGGAAAGTCTATGTACGAGCAAAAGGAGAAGGAAGATTAAGTTTTTTCTCTCTCTTTGTATCACTCGTTTCAATGTGAATTTGATTATATGGCGCCTAAAAAGAAAAGCAAACCTGTGGAACTTCCACAATTTTCGACCAACTGAATCGCCCAGAATGTAGTCACGGCTAGTCTCGAAGCCGATCAGCATTCCAAAGAAAGCCTGAACGAGGATGACGCAAGTGGAAATAAGGCCGAAAAGACCGTGCCAAGATGTGAAGTGGGGAGCTAAGAAAGGATAATGAATCAGATAATTAATTAATTTTCATAACTGTGTTGTACAGATCCCTCTCCAATCGACCGACCAATAGTTCGAAAAACTCGTTGAAAGCATTAATTACTCACCTGAATGTAAAATCTTATTGTAGAATATTGCCGAGGCCCCAATGAGAATTGACAGACTGCCCAAAAGTTGGAAGCCTTCATGGACCAATAGGCCAGTCCTTTTTGAAGCAGGCGTATCGGTGGGTTGTAGGACGATTATGCCTAGATTGCAAAACAAACAATGTAAGGCATCATCGAGTCGCCGTCATTTTTTTGGGGGAGGCGCAAGCGCACTTACCTTGATAGAAGCAGAAGAGCGAGAGGGATTGGAAAAGTGGGTGAAAAGTGAATATTCCGCCGCGATGGGTGAGCACGGTAAGCCAGACAGTGAGGATCCAAATCCAGATTCCGAGCTTGAGAAAGTACAAAGTGAGGATGCGAGTCTAGTGTCAAATGGAGAGTGTATCATGACCTGTAGGGGAGAGTTGTTGATCTTACCATGGCTACCCAAACCAAGCCGGTCCGATGGGTTGGCAGGCTATGAGCCTCTCGCAAGCTGGCGAGCGAATAGCCGGGACGATCATCGCTGGTTGGATGGGTAGCAGAGCCCAGTTGAGGGGCGGCCGGAGTGGGACTCGATGGCCTATGGTTGTTTTGGAGGAGCAGGGGAGTTTGTTCCTCCCGAGCGAGCTGGTTGTCATGTGTTGCTGCTGCCATACTTTTCAGAATGGGGCTAATTCTGAGGACGGTCAAGAGAATACCCGCAAGTGACTGCTAGGCTGGGCGGGGAGAATGGTGAGGGTGGTCATTGGTAAGCCAGTCCCACTCACCTGAAAAGGCTGACAGAGCAGATCGATCATCAGCATCGCAATCGGCTGTGCAATTCTGAATCAGCCATCCAATCGATGACATCATTTCACTTCACCCTGACGACCAATGACCCCCTGGACGCTGCGTTGAGTTGATCAATATACCTATTTGATATAATGATCAGGCAGTGCCCGGTTAGCTCAGTCGGTAGAGCATTCGGCTTTTACGTACCTCGCTGGTCCTCGGAGCCCCCTGCATGCAGGATTGGGGTCTCCAGTGAAGTGACGGACACCGAAATGTCGGGGGTTCGAGCCCCCCATTGGGCGTTTTCTTTTGTTTCACTCAGAAGCGTGTCGGAGTCATCCTGAGAGACCAGATGGCGTTGATTCACATCCAAAAGTAGTTCATCACTTCCAGCCGAAAAAGTAAATAAAAGTTTGTTTTTTTTCACTCAAATAGTGGTGGGTGGTACTTGTATCAAGGTATACCTGAATGCACAAAGGTCAAAGTACCTCTGTTAGAGCTAGAATATGACTTGAGTCCCAACTACAGCTGTTTTTTCACACCAACCAAGGACAACAGCTCTTTGTAAAAGTACTTGCTTGATTATCAAACCTCAAAATCAATTAAAGAAAGCTTCAGTCAAGGGCTAAGGGCTAAGGACTAGTGACTGACTCCAGTTTGTTTCTTTAATCAATACTGACAATGACATTGTAGACTAGAAAATATCTGGGTCTGTGGAGGTGGATGTGAGAGGTAAGCATCGTGAAAGCAGGACGAAAATGGGGCTTGTTCTTTCCTCAACAACTACTGAAAAGTTTTAGCTCTGGCGAAAGCACTGTGGATATTTCAGGGTACTACGCTACTAAGATAAACCAGTTCATATACTGCGTATTTTGAAAGCTCATGCGAGCTGAACTCCTTGTTAACCCGGTAAATTGCACTTCCCGGGTGGCTATGATTGTCAATGCTCAAATTTACCATTTATATGTCACCACCAAGCTAGTTGAAGTCGAAATTGCTGCTTTTGGTATTATATATGGTATTGATGTCGATGGTTTCCTCATGTATCAAAGCTTTCCAATCCAGTTGAACGACCATTGTTGAGCAGGTTGACCACATTATCTTTGGCAGATTTAACGACGTCGTTCAGGCCAACACCAGAATAACCCGAGCCAACGATAGACAGATTGAAAGGGTGGAGGAGACGATGTAGTGCACGCATTCTTTGATGATGGCCGACGAGATATTGAGGGATGCAATCTTTCTGTATCTGGGCCTGGACGAAGAACGGGTCCTGGGAGATCCCCAGTTGGTGCTTAATTGTTTGAGAGGCTTGTCGTATCAGTTGGTCTGTTGTGGGGATCGAATCAAGTTGCTTGGAATAGTAATGGCCCCCTAACATCACGGTCAACTTGGTCAATTCCTCTCCTCCGCGCTTCTCCTCAACACCCGGCATCATGTCACTGTCAAATACAACCCCGAGCACTCGATGGGGATTCAGCTCCGCTCCAATGCTCGCGGGGATGAGATACCCGAACGCTGGGGGGATGGGGTTAATCCGCTGAGTAGATCGGTAAGCAAGATTGACGACTCCGACAGTCACGCTAGGGTTTACTATCAAATCATTGAGCCGATTTCGAAGTGGTGGACTCAAGCATGAATGTAAAACTTGAGGAGGGAGCGCTGAGATCAGATGATCGATTTGTTCATAGGCTCCAAGAGAAGTAGTTACCTATCGATCAAGTCGAGCTCATCTCAACCACTTGTTTGGGCACCTCGCGAACGTCGGATAGGCCTGGGACAAGAAAATGCTCACCTTGGAAGGGCTATCCGATGATGGCTCGATTGACTCGACACTCTCCGTAGACTTTAAAATCACATTTGGCTTCTTTGCGAGCCAATCCCGCAAAGCGACAATCAACGTTTCTAAGCCGCCCTTCAGGCCCCAGACACTGCAATTGACTAGACCGTCGAACAGTTGACCATCCAGGGTTTTACGAAGCTTGTCTTCTTCATTTGAATCGCTCGGGTGTTGCTCTTTATCGCTGGATCTCATTCCTTTTATGACACCGCCATATCTCCTTTCGAGTTCCCAGACCGATTTGAATAAACTCGACCTCACGCTGAGGGATTTGTAATCACCCGCGTAAATTCCATGCACCATTCCTGAAATGAGTTCTTCTCCGATTCCATCGCCAAATCTTCTAGCAATGAATTCCTGGATGCTTTCATCATCGATGGAGCGTGTTTTTGATTCCTCGGTTGTGCTCAACAGGTCTTGGAGTATCGCTCGCGGTATCAGAGATATTGGGCGCTTGGGTAGCGATCTGATTAACGAAAATACGGAAGAAGGTAGCTTTTGTAGCCCTTTTTTGGTGTAAATATAGCGATTTTGAGCGGACTGCGGGCGGTCAAGCATTCTCTCGAAACATGTCAACTTGCGGCAACGAAATCAATGAGAATAAAACCTGCCCAACCGGATGAGTTTTCGGTATCGTTATTACAGAATCGAGAAGCTTCAGGTCTCTAATCTATTTCTCAACCCTCGATCAAGCAGACGAAGAGATGGCGGTGATATTCTCCCAACGAGAGAAAGCAAAGGGGCCCAAATGAGCTTCTGGCGTGTTCCTGGTTGGTCCATTGCACAAAAAGAAGAGCGGAGGACGGACCAGCTCAAGAGAAATTAAGCCGGCCAAGCCCTTTGGTCGAACGCTTCTAGGCCCAGACTCGAAGACCAAACTAGCGCCATTCTTGTCATCATGGACCCTGGAGCTCTGGACCCAACCGCCGAACCTGTCGGCCTTTTCCCAGACGATAATTTGGGTAGATTCAGGCAGTCGCTTCGAGAGGTAATAGGCCGAGGTCAGTCCTGCCAGTCCCCCTCCAAGAATTCCGATGCGACTGTCCTCCTTGATCCGGTGAGCGTTTGGCAGGGAGCAAGAGAGTCGAATACCGGGGCGCCGTCTTATCAGAGGTTGTGAGACCTTTCCGACTCGATTGACAAGTGGCATCGTCGCTGCTTGCCCATAGCCAAGATATGATCTCATCGGCCCTTCCTTCGCGGTTGGGCTGGCAGCGCGGCAAGGCGCGGCAGCCACGCCTGCGCAGCTCGCACTGAGACTACCAGAAGGGAACGGGGGACAATGCGGGCACCTCCAGGCCACCCCGTCCAACAAAACATAGGCTGGTTGGTAAGCCCACATCGTAAGGCAGTGTAGGGCAGTATGAGGCAATGTATAATCATCAGAGGAACACTTGGAAGAAAAAAAATTCAAATGGAGTTTCTGAACTGGGCTTCATCAAGCTTTACTGAAACCAACCAAAATTAATATATGTGATAACACGCATGTTACAAGGCCTTAATAGTAAAAAGAAGGGGGCTGGGTACGCGACCCCCACACAGTGGATCAGCGACCCCCAAAAGTTGCCATCTCATGGACGCAGTCAGAAAACCTGGCATTTGGGAAAAAATGGGGGTTGCAGATCTAAAAAACAGGGGTCTCTGCCCCAATTTCA